TGTAGACAAAGGAAACGCATTGAATATCTAAGGAAACTGGTACGATTACAATATCTTTACCGCACCGGGACGCCAACATGGTCAATGAAAACTACCTGACATTGCCCACTATCAGGATATACATGCTTACATAGCATATACCCTCCGGTAAATAGGCATGGCTGGCTAGAAAATGCCCCAAATTTTAAAGTTTCAATGATTGTCCTCTTGAAAAGACCATTTCATGCTGCGATTTCTCAGGTAGCCATGTTTGATGACACCCCTCCGGGTCCGTCCCAGACACAGCCTGGTGCCGCCGCTGGATCTGGGGCCCCACACCCTTTGTAGCCTCTCTTCTTGCTTGCTGCCAATGCCAATCTGCCAAAAAAGTCCGGTAATCCGGTACTCAAACCGGGAAATCCCCAAAAAAATCCCTATAGATGGTCATATAAATGAGCAAATCAAATCATCTATAAGTGGGGGGGATAGCAGTGGATTTTCCACTGTCCATGTTTTATTGCCGGAGGAATCCGGAGGGTAACAGATTAACAGGCAGTTCTAAGGATTTGTAGAGGGTTTGTTTAGAAGTCTCTCTGCAGTGTTTGAAGACTGCTTGGAGAAGCTGATCTGTAACAATCGAGTGTTTCTTAGTGATGCTCGAGTCAAGAAAATCAATCGCCTAACAGGATGCATCGAGATATATGTCAGAAGTAGGACAGGAACTTGTGTTTCTTCCTTTTTGCAACCAGGCATGCGGCATACATCTAGTCAAGTTTCATTGCCACTCCGGATCAGGCCATGCGCCCAGGTAAGACTGGACCATTGTTGTATGCTCCAGTCTCAACTTCCAACCTTTTTCTTTGAATAGGCTCACCAACAAAAGGACAACAAATCAGCTTCAAGTCTTGGTTTCTGGATTTTCTTCTGTTTGACAAGGTCTTCTCGGGAGAAGAAGCAGCTAGTTAGTTTTCAGGCTTTCAGGGTAGGCTTCGCATGGGGTTTACATCACAGGGTGTTGTACGGTCATGTTTGTGTCTATATTCATTGGGTTGGTTGAACAGAACATCGGAACCTGCGGTTCTTCGCATCAAACATCAACGTTTCCAGTAGATTTTCCCTGCCAATTCTGGGACCCTGGTGAAATCATGGTGTCTGGATCACTTACCCGTTTTTCTTGCTAAGATAATTTGTGGCGAACCCCCCGCACTGTGCGCTAAAAACCCAATGATTCAGATAAGATCCACATAGATCCACATGAATCCCAGTATCATAAAATCCAATTTTAAAAAATATATATATATATATATATATCATAAAATATCCTAAAATCCAATGTAGTCCCCAAAACACAAAATCCCATGATCTCCGCCCGGAGCCTTGGACCTCCCCGAAGCCAACTCCAAAGCTTTGGACTTTTGACACGCGATGAGCTCCTGAAACAGCGCGGCTTTGTGGAAAGGCGCGTGAAATTGGAGTATTTGGGGGTGATCTAAGTTTAATATAGTTTGGCCATTTTATTAGGGAGTGCCTCTAACAGTACCTAGGGAGTGCCTCCGAGGTCATGTTTGGCCATTCTTGGAGGTGATTAATTACCAAAAAAAGGAGCATATAGGACCATAGAAATAAACGGTCTTTGGTGGTTTCTATATATATATATATATTTACTTCTGATAAATAACTATATATATATATGTATATATATATGTATATATATGTATATATATATGTATGTATATATATATAAATTATATATATATATATATCGCAACAATAAAACATCTTCAGCCAGGCAACCAGGTTGTGTAGCCAGGCTTACACCAGTGGGGGATTCAACCACACCATTAAGAGGGAAGAATTCAGCCTTAGTCGCAAAACTGGGGAATCTCCAGTAAACATGGATAAACCAAGATTGTTTGGCCATGGAGAGAACGATTTCATATGATTTCCGTTTCTCTGAACTGTCATTCACCGTCATTGAAGGGACTTGAGCTGCCATGAGGTCGATTCTACATGCTTGTGAATGCTCCAAAATGAGAGAAGTCCCAACACCCTCAAAAACTATGGAAATGTTTGCCCCCTTTAAAAAAATGGTTCGCTGTGGCGCTTTAGTGCACTGCAGTTGCAATTGGGATATCAGATGCAGCCTGCAACACTTCTGGTGCATACCAATCCAGGCTCATGTCACTTGCCACAGGGAGCCAAACGAAACACAAACAAATCCTGGATAGAACCGAAGGTAGTGAATTTCTAACTGCAAACGGCGGCATCGAGGCAAAAGTGAAAAAAAACGAAGCATAGATGCCAGCCCTTCGATCAAAATCCTTAATTATGCAAGACAAAGTGTTCGATAGAACCAGTTGTGCACTCATGGCTCATGTGTAACTTCAACCATCTTTGCATGCACAAACAGTGTAGAATAAGCGTCTTACTGTGGCCAGCGAAAGTCCAACCCAATGTCCACCGACAGCCATTTCTGTGAGAAATGATAAGCAACGAAACCAGCTCTGGCAAGTCAGTGACTGATATTGCCAATATACCAGCGATGATATATTAAGTGATGATATGTAAGAATGGCCAAGCAACATGATCCCCGCTCTGGATACTGTCGGAAGCATCTTTTTTGTCGGATGCTGTCTTTTTTGTTGCTTTTGCGTCGGTATTTAAAAAACAAAAATGAATCCATGAATCCAATGTTTTGGATGTTTAGATACCCAGTTTGATTTCTATACATCCCACGTTGTCCACTGGAAAAGGCACAAGCTGAGGCTGTCCCGCTCGTGAAAGAAACCGCGGTGTGTGTTCATTCCACCTGAGAAGCGTGGAACAATCCTTGGGAAATTTGGTTAGACTTCCTGCCAATTGCTTGGGAGAAATCTAATTTTCCATTAAAGCGGGAAGAGATTCTAGTACATCTTTCCTTGCTGGTTTGGTAAGAGCTTCATTTCTGAACAGGTACACATCCTACATATCATTGGTGGCAAATTCCATGGATATGAATCAGGTGGCAGGCGTTACAGTTAAAGAAACTTCGAACTTGTTCCTGCCAAAATTACAAAGATACAGGGATCATGACACTCTCAGGTGATCCTTTTTGTCCCTGAAGTATATATATATATATGTACATATATATATATATATAAATATGGGGTGACGCGCGCAACCAGCTGTTCGAGTCGCTTCTCAAACTGCGTTCAACATCGGTCCACAACCCCTCTGAACATATGTAAGACATTGTAAGACCCTCATTGAGCCCGCAGATCTGGCCGTAGTCCTCCTGAGAAGACATGGCACAGAGTCACATCCTTATCCAGTGCGGCTGATGATATCATATCCAACGTTGGCAAACGCTGCAGTTTTGCAGGTCTTGCAAAACACATATTATTGTATATTATTACTGTATGAATTACTGTATGTACAGTGCTTACACTAATTACTTCTTCTTGTTCTTATTCTTATCACTATCTCTGTTCCCCCGTGAGAATCGTATGATTGATAATGATTACACATTACTATTTGTTTGTTATTAGACGTATCTCAATTATAATCATTAATCATCATATATTACATCTCATATATACTGGTTCGTGGTTTCAACCCCTCTGAAAATATTAGTCAGTTCGGAGTATTATTCCCAATATATGGAAAATAAAAAATGTTCCAAACCACCAACCAGATTACATCTTAATCATCTTATATATAGCCCTTACATGCCCTTACATTGTCTTACTTCCCCCGAAAAGGGTCGGATTCACGCCTGGAAGCATCTCTCCGCGGATGTTGGCAATCAGGCCCCAGAAGTCCTACAGATGTCAACTGGGTGCTTGATTGGTTGGTCAATTACTTAAATGATCGAATTGATTGACTTATTCATTGGTTACTTGATTGATGACTGACTTATAAGTAGTTGACTGATTGATTGATTGATTGATTGGTTGGTTGATTGATTGATTGATTGATTCACTGATTGATTGGTTGATTGATTGTTTGATTGATTGATTGATTCATTGACTGATTGACTGATTGTTGCCGTTTGATTGATTCGTTGATTGACCGATTGACTGATTCATTGACTGTTTGACTGATTGTTGCGGTTTGATTCGTTGATTGATCGTTTGATTGATTCTTTGACTGTTTGACTGATTGTTACCATTGATTGATTCGTTGATTGATAGATTGACTGATTCATTGACTGTTTGACTGATTGTTACCGTTTGATTGATTCATTGACTGTTTGACTGGTTGCTACTGTTTGATTCGTTGATTGATCGATTGATTGATTCACTGACTGTTTGACTGGTTGTTACCGTTTGATTGAAGCGTTGATTGATCGATTGATTGATTCATTGACTGTTTGACTGATTGTTACTATTTGATGGATTCGTTGATTGATCGATTGATTGATTCATTGGCTGATTGACTGATTGTTACTGTTTGATTCGTTGATTGATCGATTGATTGATTCATTGACTGTTTGACTGATTGTTACCGTTTGATTCGTTGATTGATCGATTGATTGATTCATTGACTGTTTGACTGATTGTTACCGTTTGATTGAAGCGTTGATTGATCGATTGATTGATTCATTGAATGTTTGACTGATTGTTACCAGCGACTGATTGGTTGATTGATTGATTGGTTGTTTGATTGATTGAGTGATTGATTGATTGATCGATCGGTTGATTGATTGATTGATTCATTGACTGTTTGACTGATTGTTGCCGTTTGAAAAATTCGTTGGCTGCGCGACTGATTGATTCATTGACTGTTTGACTGATTGTTACCGTTTGATTCGGTGATTGATCGATTGATTGATTCACTGACTGTTTGACTGATTGTTACCGTTTGATTCGTTGATTGATCGATTGATTGATTCATTGACTGTTTGACTGATTGTTAACATTGATTGATTCGTTGATTGATCGATTGACTGATTCATTGACTGTTTGACTCATTGTTACCATTTGATGGATTCGTTGATTGATCGATTGATTGATTCATTGGCTGATTGACTGATTGTTACTGTTTGATTCGTTGATTGATCGGTTGATTGATTCATTGACTGTTTGACTGGTTGTTACCGTTTGATTGGAGCGTTGATTGATCGATTGATTGATTCATTGACTGTTTGACTGATTGTTACCGTTTGATTCGTTGATTGATCGATTGATTGATTCACTGACTGTTTGACTGGTTGTTACCGTTTGATTGAAGCGTTGATTGATTGATTGATTGATTGATTGATCGATCGGTTGATTGATTGGTTGATTGATTGATTGATTGATTCATTGACTGTTTGACCGGTTGTTACCGCTTGATTGTTTTTGTTGTATGATCGATTGATTGGTTCATTGACTGTTTGGCTGATTGTTACCGTTTGATTCGTTGATTGATCGATTGATTGATTCATTGACTGTTTGACTCATTGTTACCATTTGATGGATTCGTTGATTGATCGATTGATTGATTCAGTGGCTGATTGACTGATTGTTACTGTTTGATTCGTTGATTGATCGAATTGATTGATTCATTGGCTGTTTGACTCATTGTTACCATTTGATGGATTCGTTGATTGATCGATTGATTGATTCATTGGCTGATTAACTGATTGTTACTGTTTGATTCGTTGATTGATCGATTGATTGATTCATTGACTGTTTGACTGATTGTTACCGTTTGATTCGTTGATTGATCGATTGATTGATTCACTGACTGTTTGACTGGTTGTTACCGTTTGATTGAAGCGTTGATTGATCGATTGATTGATTCATTGACTGTTTGACTGATTGTTACCGTTTGATTGAAGCGTTGATTGATCGATTGATTGATTCATTGAATGTTTGACTGATTGTTACCAGCGATTGATTGGTTGATTGATTGATTGATTGATTGATTGTTTGATTGATTGAGTGATTGATTGATTGATCGATCGGTTGATTGATTGGTTGATTGATTGATTGATTGATTCATTGACTGTTTGACCGGTTGTTACCGCTTGATTGTTTTTGTTGTATGATCGATTGATTGGTTCATTGACTGTTTGGCTGATTGTTACCGTTTGATTCGTTGATTGATCGATTGATTGATTCATTGGCTGTTTGACTCATTGTTACCATTTGATGGATTCGTTGATTGATCGATTGATTGATTCAGTGGCTGATTGACTGATTGTTACTGTTTGATTCGTTGATTGATCGAATTGATTGATTCATTGGCTGTTTGACTCATTGTTACCATTTGATGGATTCGTTGATTGATCGATTGATTGATTCATTGGCTGATTAACTGATTGTTACTGTTTGATTCGTTGATTGATCGATTGATTGATTCATTGACTGTTTGACTGATTGTTACCGTTTGATTCGTTAATTGATCGGTTGATTGATTCATTGACTGTTTGACTGGTTGTTACCGTTTGATTGATTCGTTGATTGATCGATTGATTGATTCTTTGACTGTTTGGCTGATTGTTACTGTTTGATTCGTTGATTGGTCGTTTGATTGATTCATTGACTGTTTGGCTGGTTGTTACCGTTTGATTCCTTGATAGGTCGATTGATTGATTCATTGACTGTTTGACTCATTGTTACCGCTTGATTGATTCGCTTATTGATCGTTTGATTGATTCATTGACTGTTTGACTGGTTGTTACCGTTTGATTGATTCATTGACTGATCGATTGATTGATTCATTGACTGTTTGACTGATTCATTGATTGATTGGTTGGTTTATAGATGACTCCTAAGGCCCTAAGACAAACCACTTCTTCCGTGGTCCCCGGAGCCAAATTTTGATTCCACCTCGAGACCCTGCCGATACAAGAAGAATGTGAGGATCTTTTGGTACACCTCGCCATGTGAAGCAGCGCGGAGTTGCGGAGCTGTTGATGTCGGGTACTTCACGGTAGGATGTGCCCAGGTACCACATGGAATATATCACCACTTCATCAAGAATGAATGGACAATTAGCAGCAAACAAGGAGAGTAGGACACAAATCAGGAGATAGCTAAATATAGCTACAGCAAATAAATATAGCAAAACCCTCCAAATACCTCAAAATTATGGGGTAAAACATTTTGAAGGGAACAAGCGGATGGTCAAACGGTAGAGATTTTTGGGCAAGAGATGCAGGTCAGGGCCAAAGATCTGGTGAAGGTTTTGTCCAGGGCAAACATCTCCAAACTAATGGGGATATTCGAACCAAACGTCCAATGAAAAACATTGAAGTCATCATCACATTGTCACCATTAATCAACTTGATGTCCTCTTTGGATTTTTGTGATCATAGAATCGATGGGGCGGGCCTGGCAGGCTATCTGTTACCCATTGGTCAATCAACGCGCATTAAAATTGCGCCGTATGAGTCAACCAACAGCACGTCTATGATTGATTTCATGCCATATGGATAAACTAAACTACTTCACTAGCAAAATAACAACTGCGAAAATCGGCCACTTGGGGATAATTCGCCCAATCCTACCCATCATTCCGGTGCCGTCGCGGTGGGGTCGCTATGGATTATCTCAGCCATAAAAAATCCCATTTTACCACCACTGTTGCTGGTTGAATCCAAGCTTTTCATTGGTTTTGTCTCCCAGTCTGCTCCAGTCGATTCCTGGTTGAATCGCCATTCTGTTCTGATTAAAAAACGATTTTGATATATTTTGATGTGTTAATGTTAAACCTCAAGTTTTGAGAACCCCAAGTTTTGAATGGTGAAATCCCACGTCTTTGTTGGTTAAATCTCAAATTTGGAGTGGTGAAATCTCAAGTGAAACATGAAAACTTAAAACTGACATAAATAAAAGCCATGGATTTCTTGACTGTGCCTGTATCGGCACGGGTCGCGTCTGTGCTGCAGGCAGCGTCAATTCCGTCGCCAAGGTGTGGCTGGCCTGGCCGTGGATGATTCACCACGAGACATCGGGAAAAACTTCCACTTATAGAAAATTTAACCAACAAAAACTGGTGATTTATCCAACAAAAAAAGGACAATTAACCTACATATATTTTAGCCTCCTGTAACCTAACGCAACCCCACGGGTTTTCCACTTCGCCTGGGGGTAACCCACCAGAATGGAAATCAACCAACACATATATTGGGATATTGTCGTGGGATATACAAAAATGAAATATTTCATCAGATTCAATGGGACTCAAAAGGCTTTAACCAACAATCATCAGCGAGATGGGCCAACAATGGCCTTGGGCTTGGAATTCGCCCACAGGGATGGTACCCATAAGGATTTACAAAGGCAAATGTTCACTGGGTATCAACGATGCAAAGGGACATGGGAAATAACACATTGACACATTGACATTTTTTGGACACACAACAATTCTCAGTAAGAATGCCTTACGCCCACAGTATTGAATATATGTGATGTACACATTAATATACATCGCGTCTAAGCGTTATTTGCCGTCTGAAATCCGCCTTTTGAAAGGTCTGGTATAGTGACATACTTGGGCATGCGCTATCAATGGTGATAGCCTAAACTTGAGGCTCCATCATGGGTTGACCCAACTCTTCCGTTGATCCTATCGTTGAGCCTGAGTTTGTCGAATTTCTTCGGCTATATCCTCTTATCATTTCCTGCCGTCCTTGGGTTGCTTGCCAATGGTTTGACCTTTTGGGGTGTTAACCCTCCAGAGGGCTAGCCTATGAATGAGCAGCCTCCACAAAAAACGTGATCTGTTCATTTTGGCGCCCCTCATGCTCATGGGAATCTGAGAACCCTTTTCACCAAGGTTGAGTAGTCTGCGTTGGCTACAGAAGGGTCTTCTGTCAAGAATTAAAAATACGAAAAAAATACGAAAAAATACAACTCAAAATACAAAATCTGATTTGCAGGGTTTAGAAAATACAGCAGGTTGGCTTTGCATTTATTTTGCAATTTGGTTCTAGCTTTTCAAAATGAACATGGGGTTGGCTCTCTGGCCCATTTCTGAACTAGTATTTTTTTTTGTATTTTGTATTTTTGAAATTTTGGGTTCATATTTTTTTTTGTATTTTGTATTTTGAAATTTTTGCTTCGTTTTTTTGGTATTTGGTATTTTTGAGAAATTGCATTCGTATTTATTTCGTTTTTTTTTCGATTTTTTCTGTATTTGTTTTGTAAAAATACAACAAATACACTTGTATTTTTTGCATTTTTTTGTATTTTTCCATTCCTTCACAGATTGCACTTTGTCCTTTTGTATTTTTTTCGTTCTTTAGACATGCCGTCAAAGAACAAAACCGCGAATCCACCAATGTATGTTGTATTTCCCTTTTGTTGCTGATTTTTCCCCCCTCAGTGCTGTATTTTTGTGTAATTTGGGTTTGTATTTTTTTTTTGTATTTTTAATGATTACAGAAGTTACAGGCTGTAGCCAGCACCCGACTACTCACCACCAGGGTGTTTGGTAAAAGTGTGACTCAGGAAACCATGGAACGATGGAAACCATGAACCCACCCACACCCCCACCTTGCCATAGAGTTTCTTGATCGACTTGGCCCCTTCGGTGCTAAAGAGCGCCATGGCCTTGAAGAGGGCATGGTCGGGTTTTCCCATCGATCAGAAAAAGGAGTCTGGTTTCATTCCAAATAAGGGCAGAATTAATCAACAAGAAAAAATAGCAAGACATACCAAGACGTTCCTAGTTCCTGGAGCTTTGCAGTGAGCTTGGCTGGTTGAAAAAAAAAATCCACGACTGATAACTTGGATGTGCGTTCCAGTTGGTATGTGTTTCGTGACCTGGGCTCCAATCCATGTACAAGTGGGAAACACCTCAACCATAATCTGGGTATATCTGAGTTATCAACGACTTCTGATATAACCTGAAGGCCCATTCAAATATGCTGAGGCCCAGTTGACCCCGGCCTCTTCGATCGATCCGCCCAACCTCAGGCTCTGGGGATTCAATCTGGGTTCAATCCCCTGAAATTCGGATGGCTAAACCAGTCATTGAAACGTAACAACGTAAAACAGTAAAACTGCAATGCATGAATCAACCACATAGTTTGAGTGTTTTTTTGGTTCATGGGCACCAAACCTATGTATATATATATATATATATAGTAATTATTTAGTTATATATATATAAAAGGCCAGGACTTGCCAATCAACTAAATGCTGATATCAACCAAAGTGACATCTCAAGCATCTGATCAGGTCGCAGGAGGACTGACACCAGCATCGGTCGCACGAGATCCTGGCGAAGGATGATCCAACTGAGGCTCTTCCAGCGGTGGAAACAGTGAGGAGAGGTTACAAATGCCCTTGAAGGTGGCCCAGACATTGAAAATATCATGAGTATCGATTTTCAAAAAACTGTAACATACATTTGAAAAATGCGTATATATATATATATATATGTATATATGAAAATCCATGTACACACAGGTGTACAGTAAATATCGTACGCACGTCCAATTGCATGTATGGGAAAAAATCAGGCACGATCCATGTACTATCGCCACGGACCTCCCAATTATGACTGGCTGAGTTGCTGGTTGGCATCTGTGAGCTCCCACCAAAACCAGCAGGAATAATGCAGAAATAAAGCTAGCGAGCTAATGTCCAGACAAAAGCGAAAACAAAGGCACTGCGCGCACACAGCGACTTCCGTACTTGCCTTTGAAAGTGGCAGCGATATGCTATGCACCTGTTATTTCATGCTGGGCCACATCATGTACTCTGGCCCCAAAATCCGGGATAAACGTATTTGGAATTCAAGATCCTTATGTAGTGGTAGCTTTTGATTAAAAAACAGCGTGATACAAATGTTACGGCACATGGGATGAGATTCTTGATATTTGGGGATGATTTAGTCCAAAGCAAAAAACTAGGGGTCAAATGGGTATAGTACCCCGACATCGTGTTTTTCTTACTATTTACAGCTATTTACTCATTTTATCTCATGTTTATGCTTGGTTAATATGCTGGTCTACGTAGTGATTCACTGAAGTTGTGACCGCCATGGAGAGTCCTCGAAGATCCAAAAGCGGATGGTGGTGTCTCTCGAACTGCTGACCTGCCATGGCTTTGATGGCGAAGTATGGAAAACCAAGAATCGCCCGAAAAAAGGGCCCACTAAAAAAATGACCAGTATACATCTAGTACTGTAGCATATGTCAGATGAAAGGAATCAGCATCTGTGGGTTCAGGATCTTACCAGTAGCTTCACAATAAAGTCATTGGAGGTTACAGAGCCAAAACCTGATGACCCGGGGCCACAGCCAGTCATTTTGCATACCTACTTGGCGCCGGAAAGTAACAAAACAAATGGGTAAAACATGTCACAGAAAAAAAGGAATACAGTATCATATGACAAAATGAAAAATACTTGATATTTACTACAATCAATAAACATAAATTCAAGGTGTAGGTATGTAGATTTTTCTGGCAGCATTGTTCAGTAGGTTGTGATCAGGCTCTGCAGTTCCATCACACTCACACACACACACCACACAAACATGCACACAGAGTTGGACTTCTAAACTAAATGGTTCATAAGCTTGTGTTTGATTCTCCCAAAAGATCAAACATTTTGCCCAGATCCAAGATTCAAACATATTCAAACACCATCGAACTAGCCCCAGTCTTTGAGACCATGAAAAGGACCTCGGAACTCGCAACACATGTTTGGTCTGTGCATTCAACCGTCTCGAAAATATGACGTGTTTGAAATAACCCTATATTTTTGTGTGGATTGGGAAAGTAGACTGGTTGGTGGTTACAACTCCTCTTAAAAATATGAGTTCGTCAATTGGGATCAGTATTCCCAATATGATGGGAAAGTCATAAAATTCCATGGTTCCAAGCCACCAACCAGTAATCCCATTATTACTCCCATTATTAACTATTAGTAACCATGATTAATGACTGTTCCAAACCACCAACCAGTAAATATCCTGAAGATGTAGAGTTGCACAAATCTGAAACCATGGATGCTAGCTCCCCAGATTTTGGATACAAATCATGGCAGCTGCCCAGCTATGGGATAAAGAAAAATCATTGACCCCAAACATCTCCTCTACCAAAAAAAAAATAAATATATATATATATATATATACGACATATGGTATCTATATACATGGTATCTATACCATATATGGTATCTCCGGCTTTACGAAAATCACCAGCTTCCACAGTTCCAGCCGAGACTGGTGGGTCACCAGAAAGAAGGGTCGCTCCGGATGCATGGCAAGGCCTCAGTGTGAGTGGATGTTGTGGACAAACAACGGCCGTCTGAATGGAAACAAATGGTAATTATATATATATATATACAGTATACATGGTTATAAATAGCTATAATTGCTACAAAAACTGCTATAATACAAATGAAAACAACTGCTATAAATAGCTAGAACTGCTATAACGTGCATGGCTATATTATATCCTTTCTTCGCTATCACCATACAGTTATGGATAGACAAAGTCCTTGGCATGTGACTGATCTACATAACTACATGGCTTAGGGTGAGAAAAAATCAGTAATGCCTGAGTAGCACCACATTCCTTTCCGCAGGACCTCAGCCTGGAATATGAACACGCACGCATTGACACATCAACTTGTAGGTATACATACATATGTATGTTTGTATGTATGTATGTATGTATGTATATATATAAAAAAATATATAAATAAATAAATAAATATATATATATATATATATCATGCATATGGGTATATGGGTAATTGATGGTAATTGTGCATGTACAAATTTAAGGACTACTTCATGGGATATACATGTGTAATCATGTGTATATGCTCACACCCCCTCTAACGGTCCCGTTGAATTTGGTGTGTTTTGAACGTTCCCAACGCACGAGCATGTTTCATCATGTTTCAGCATTGCCATTAACTTGGTGGAGGGCTCCAAAAACGTTCTCTTGTCTGCGGTTTTTTGTCAATGTGTTGTGGGGCCGGGGGGGCAACAACGTTCTTCTCCGCTGCTTTTCGTCAATGTGTTCTAGTGGTCTGGGGGGTGCCAAAAACATCCTTCTCTGCTGCTTTTGGTCAATGGGTTGTCCAGTCTCCTGCACATGACGGTTTGTGTCCTACATGTAACATGTTCTACTTTCTGAAATGTGTTTAACGTTCCGTAAATTGTTCCACATTCTGTAACAACATCCTCTATGTTCTCAAACAGGCTTTACGCTCTATAATTTCCTACGTTCTGTAACATGCGGTACGTTCTTTAACGTGAGGTACGTGCCAACATGCTCTGGGTTCTAAGACATGCAGTACGATACAATATTATAAAATGGTATGGGTTGTGGAACATGGTGCGCGCTCTAACATGATTTGCATTCTGACGTGCTTTACGTTTTGTTTAACGCGCTTTACGTTTTGTTCGGCTATAAAATTCCCTAGGTCAACAAATATTCCGAGAGCAAGGGAAGCCCAAGAAATCTGAATGATCAAGCTCGCGAGTATGTTTTTTCTCCGTGTGGAGAAACATTAAAAAGAAAGAAAACCAACTTTTCCAACTTGGACAGTTGGCACTTAGAAATAGAAAGTGGCATGTTTGGAAAAACAGATGGTCCGAAGTGATGAAAACGAATCTTGCAGTTTTTTGTCTGTAAAACATGTTTGATTGATGGAACCAACCTAATTACGTGTTCCAGGGCTGAAAATGAAAATGGACCTTTGCACAAATAACCATAAGCACAAAGTGCTGGAAGGGTACTCGAAACAAGCTGCGAGCACTTCTGAAAATGCACAAACGGGGGATCGCGCGGCGAAATTGACCATACATATAATATATAGAATTCAAATATAATCAGTATTAAGATATATTAATTCGATATATAAGCCCTGATGTTGGTTTCCTATGGTACCCTTGTTCTCTTCAACCAAATCTAGATGATGTTGACGGATTTTTGTCCCTCGCTGCGTCAACACGGGCCCATCCCCGCATTGCACTCCATCTGCCCTGGAGAAACCCTGGCGGGCAAGTCACCGTAGACGTCTGCATGGTGTTCATAGGCAGTATACAAACACCTGCCGTTTGCAGAACAAAACGAAGACGTAGTTTATCTGAGTGTTAAGCTTAAGTGTGCGGGAGGATTTGGTAGTTTTTTAGCCACGTGGAAGAATGGGAAATCTGATCGTTGTAAAGGAGGTTCTGAACAGTTATGAACTAATCTCAGCAGTAAATTGAACATGTCATGTGGATGTTGCGAAGGAGGGGGGTAATAGGTGCGCGATGGAATTTTGGCACTACTGGATAAACTGCTCCAAGAAGCCAAATGGGTCCGACTAAACATGGGGCCATCAGGTAGGAAAGATTAAAATCCTCACATAAATCAGCCATGAAGCTACAGTAGCTTTTTCGCAAGCGTCATCGATGACACCATTTAAGGGTTGTTCTGCCCGAGACATCGGACTGTTGCAAGATGATTTCCCAAAAATGATTTCCCGAGCAAAACCAACTGCAAGTGCCAATGGCAGAACATTTCAAATGGTGTTGATCGGTGGACGCCCTTATTTTTTCTTAAACAATCAGCCACTGCTTTCTAGCTATGCCTCCCTTTTTTTCTGCCTATATTTTTGTTGGGGTTTCACCCTCAGTTTGACGCCCCAGTTAAAACCCACTATACCCCCATCATTTTGAGATATTCTGAGATTCCGTCTTTTCAGTGCTCAAACAATCTTTGAAATCCTAATCTTGGTGGTCCCGACCACATCATCCCATCGTGTCCCATTGGATCGACCTGCTCTCCACGGCGTCCCAAACGCGAATCGTCGAGTCCCACGACCCACTGAACCTGCAGCAAGGTGACGTGGGTCCTGCTCAATGTTGGAAATTCCCTCAAAAATCCAAGGGTTTTATCGTCATGTTGATTATATAAGCCTTTGAATATGATCCATTATCTATCAATTTGTCAATTGATAGTATCATTTCACACCTGCAACACCGTGCTGGGCGCCCGCCGGGTACCCCTGCAGGATGTGCGGCAGTTCGGTGTGCCACAGCAAACCGCGCACATAGGACGTGTGGCCGACCAGCCTCGCAGCGGCTTGTCTCATGGCGGGTCAACGTTGGGAGAGATACCCTCCGGTGTCATCAAATGTGGCAAATGAAAAGCTCCTAGAGATGGAGGGTTTAAAAGAAACATCATCTTAAAATGGTGGTATACTGTCTGAAACCTTATGTTTGTCCAGGATATGGGCGCGTCTGAAGGTGTGGTATAATCTGAACTGATCCCAACTGGCCAGTCTAAGCCGGAAAATTCGGATAATCGATTGGAGGTGGGCTTTTTCAGGGACAAATTTACAATGGCTATACCATGTTCAAACGACGCAATTTTTGAAACAAAATCGATGCAACTGAAATGTATATATAGTTGATATGAAGTCCCATTGCTCAAAGCCGCTAGTCAGGTGCGAATGTGTCACATGGATTGATCCACTTGGATCTTCTGAAAGGAACATGGGCACAATGCAGACAAAAAATGTATCCCCAACCTAACATGAAAAGCAAATGAAGCAAGACTTTGTGTTTTCAATAGTAAAAGTATTGGATTATATGTATTGAATTGCTTCCGAACTTGCGTGATTGAGACACTTGGGGCTGCAGTTCCACTGTATCTATGGGTAAATGGCCAAAGTCGGAAAATCTGAGTTCTATTCCATCTTGTATCCGCTTGTACCCATTTATAACATTTTATACCCGCAACTGCACCCCCACTCACCTACTTCTCCGATACATTGATGCAGAATCCATCAGAGTCCCATGTGCCAGGGCCACCCGCCGTTTCAGTTGCCGTTGCCCACGGAAACCCGGCGTCCAGTTCCAAATGCGAATCGTCTGGGCTCCAGTTTTCAAACCGAAGTATGGATGGAAACCATGGCCAATCTTAGATACCCTGCGCAAAATTGGTTTTGGATATCCAACATTGGTCCATTAAACATTTGTGAATAGAAACTTAACTGTTTTTTTTGGGTGTAGCTGGTAAATATATATGCCTTTTAACAAAACAGTATAAAGTACCCATCGAAAGTGTTCTCCAAAAAAATGCAACACCATGAAAATTCAGTTGTGGGATGTTTACTCTTGACCCTCACAATGAATTAAGCATGTGTAAGATCTCAACAACCAGCAGCTTTCATCCCCTTCTGATCCTTTGATAAAGAGGTCAGGGTAATAAGTAGTTCAGCCGTGCGTAGTTCTATGTGTCGAATCATTCTGTACATGAAAACACGTTGAGCGGGCGGTTCAACCAGGGCGGGGCCTTAGAATGTGAAACCACCAACCAGCTTATAACATATCGAACATTGAACAACTGACACGGCAAATACCATCAATTTGTCAAATTTGATGTTCCGCTTTGTTTTCAAAGCTTACAGGAATGGGCCCAGGGAGTGGTTTGCTGAGTGGAGCCAGGCTGATTCTTCGCCTGTTGGGATGCGTCCTACAACGTTTGAGGGTCCTTTGTGTACACTTCATACATAACCATGCACAAGCACAGACACACACACACACACCGATACACAAATTCCTGCGCAGACTTGTTATATATGTATATATATACATATATATATATTTATGTATATATGTCTCTACATGCACAGATGCATAACATCACGTAACATTTTATACATTATATTGCCTTGCCTTGCAACAACACACACAACATAACACGACATAACACAACATAATCTTACATTATTACATTAGCATACCGTTGCATTCCGTTGCTTTGCGTTATTACATTCATTACATGTATATATATATGTACACATGATCCGTTCTGCTTTTACAGATGTCTATATATATATATATATATACAGGAAGAGGACACTGTCATCCCTTTGCGTCCCTTTTGAGCATTCTAGCCTGTAAACGCAGCATTTAGGAAGTCACCCTCCTGATGCTCCGCCCAATCTGAACCCCACAAATTCTTGAACGTTTTCTAGCACCATTATTCAGCAATATGCCAGGGTGATGCTGCATTTACAGTAGATTGCGTTTTGATGGTCCAAAGTGTTTGGGCACCAGGAAATTGAGGTGCAGCCCCTCATGTAAACCCAGGTTGAAACCCAACTTGGGCGGGGAATGGTGTCAGGAAGAACTGTTCTTCGCAGTGACTGTTGATTTCATTGCATTCGAAACTCCGAAATACGGAATTATATAGGCTTCTGCACTTGTTTTGAAATAGACTCACGCAAAATATCCGTCCCCAACCAACACGCAACATTGCAAAACATCTACGTATCTGTGTGAGCCCCTCAGCGCATGTAAATGCTGCATTTGAGTTCAACCAAAAAACATGGATGCTGCAAAATCCTGCATTCAGCTTGCGGAAAGAAGAAGAGATATGACTTTCCGGATTTGCTTTCTGGCAGCTAAATTCAGCAATTTTGAACCATAAAGACACGACCTTGTCATGTGCCTGTAAATACGCAATGAATCACAATGATCTACTCGGTTCCCGGGCGCGATCATCGCTCCCGGAACAAATGATGCTGGGCAGAATGGGGTGGAAGGCCACATTGAAGACCTCAGTAGAAATCAAATTGGCCACAGATGACACTGGAGAAAAAGATCAAATCGAAAAATCACACATTGGAATGGTAGAATCGAAGGTAAATAAATAAATAAATATATATATATATGTGTATGCTGTATATACTATAATTATGATATAGTGAAATGAATGGGTATATGAGGGAAAACTAAGAGTTGTGTGGAGATGGACTTGGTTTTCCAACTAACAAAGTAATACGACAGATGGCTCCAGGCATTGGGGTACAGTATCGACCCACAAAAATGAGGTTATCTTTACGCTCTCAAATCACCACAGGCTGGACTAGGTAATTTTTTTTGACCATAAGTGTACCTCGTGATGTGGTCCAGTACTTCCACCACTAGGCCCAGTCACTGACTCTTGCCATTCGTTTTAAGCCAACATCTTGGTAATTTGACCCATTTCTATGGCTGGGGTTCAAGATTTATCTCTGCTGTTTTTTCCCAAGGCACCGCCACTTGATGGATCATCTTTTGTCACTGATACCATCTGATTTCCCATTTTCCTGGAAGGAACTCCATCGACCACACAGCTTCGGTCTTTTTTCCATCTCAATTGCGCTTCAACCGCGCTTGTCTCTGTCTTCGGCTTTTGGCCACCTCAAGGTGTGCAGGGTGTGAAGTCGAGAACCAGCATACAGCAGGGGCACCCTTGGATTTCATCCAACATGGCGGGAAGTCCCTCTGTTGTCTATCCGTCCTTTATGGGAGACTTATATATGTTTCGGGGTTTTCGGTTGTCAGGAGGGCACCATGCTCCGCGGGGCCCTCACGCCCTCCCAAGTGGGACCTCTTTGGGAAGGTCAAAGAGCTTGGAAGGACAGGAGTGCAAAAATCGATCCAAGTAATGATGCACCAGTACCTTTCTCAGCGTCATGGCCCAACTGGTTTCGGCTGGGAGAGGTCAAGTGGACAGGCTGGGAAAAGGATGTTTCAAAAGTCGGAAACGTTTGGAACAGTTCACCATCAGCTATTCTTTGCAGAAACAAAGCTGAGGAGTATATGTATATATATATATATACATCATGATATTATACAATGTTGGGCCCTTAGATGTAAGACATTTTATATATTGTGTATGTACCTTTTACAAAATGGTTTAACTATATTGAAAACTGGGGTCAATTTCCATAAATAATGTTAAATATTAATCTATAAATAAGGAAATATAACATTAGATAGCAGATGTATTGATGTATGAAGAAAAATACCGAAAAAGTAGCAACGATAACTGTTTTTTTTGCATGGAAACCGATGTTTTTAAAGCACGGCAAATTTTCTGCTCAAGTGGAGCACAATTTCCCGGGAGACATGGCTGCAGGTGCAGATGTGATGGCACAAAGAGCGACGCTGCAGGACTTCAAATCCTGGCGATTCCTGTTGCTTAAGAGAAGATGAGAGAAGGTTGGGTGGACACCCGCATGTGTTTCCTGTTGTTTAGGTTTCAGAAAAGGAAACGAAGAAACGCGCATGTGTTTCTAGATTTCATACTCAAGTGATTGTAAACGCGTATGTGTTAAACATGTGTTTCCATCTTTTTCCACATCTTTACACATGGTGCTCAAAAATCTCGACATTCGGGATGTTTCCACAAAAACATGGGAACACGCGTGTGTACCCGCATGAAAACGCCACAATGGCCAAGGAAAGCGGTTGTGTTTCCATCTCTCATCGCCATCGTGCTTGGAAACGCGTATGTGTTGACAATGTGTTTTTTTTGGCGTTTCCCCAAGACTGAAATCCGTAGCTGTTTTTCTCGCCCAAGCTCATCTGAATCGCTGTTTTTGCTAGAAACTTTTCACATTTCGAGATCAAAAGCTAAGGAAACGAAATGCAGCGGGAAAAACGGAACTTGCCAGAATTACATGACAAATTGCGGAATAAACTACAATTTTTTCACGCTAAAAAAGATACAAAAGATATAACTTAACTTTAACTTAACTTGCAAAACCTATTTCAACTTAACTTCCCTAAATCCTTTGATAGGTCCCGTAAGTGCGGCTTAACTCAGGGCACAATTTTGTATTATATTAAATTAACATATGCTAAATTAAATGAACATATATTCATTGCAAATTCAGTTTAATTAAATTGTCTTATATTATTTTTTGGGATACTAAATTCCTACAAAGTTAGACAACAAATATTATACTTTCTTTTCTTGCCCTGCATCCCGTGCCGAGGTCATCAGCACCAAAAGAGAGATGCTTGGGCGCTTGGCTTTTGGACTCTATTGCTCGGTTTTTCCACCGCCCTCAAAATGGCAAGGTTTTGGGTAGGGCCTCCATCATATTCAGAGTGGCTGAATCTGCAATGTATGTCTTCATTCGATCTACAAACCCAATTGTCGTGGTCGACTAATTCCACGTTTTCCGGTACGGACGGGCTCAGCGCTGTCAGGTTGATACGTATAACTTGTCTAAGGGGGTCACCATTAGTTGCCTGCAATATGTGTCCGGCCAAACGAACTCTGATCTCATCCAGTTCTTCTGTGACGAGT